GTTTGTGCTCGTGTTTTTTTATGACATCCTCATCTATAGCTCATCTTGGGTGGATCATCTCCGGCACCTCCGTGCCGTCCTCACCGTGCTGCAGCAGCACCGGCTCTTCGTCAAGCATTCTAAGTGCGCTTTTGGGGTCGCCTCCATCTCCTACCTGGGGCATGTCATCTCCGAGGCCGGCGTCGCCATGGATCCCGCCAAGGTGCAGGCGGTCCAGGACTAGCCCCAGCCCCGCTCGGCGCGTGCAGTACGGGGCTTCCTTGGCTTGGCGGGGTACTACCGCAAGTTCGTCCATGACTACGGCACCATTGCGGCTCCCCTCACGGCGCTGTTAAAGAAGGAAGGGTTCTGCTGGACTCCTGACGCCACCGCGGCATTCCAGGCCCTCAAAGCCGCGGTCACCTCGGCTCTGGTTCTATCCCTGCCGGACTTCGACAAGTCGTTTGTCGTCGAGTGCGATGCGTCGACCCACGGGTTCGGGGCAGTGCTCATCCAGGAGAAACACCCGATCGCCTACTTCAGCCGGCCCGTCGTGCCGCGACACCGTTCCCTCGCCGCCTACGAACGGGAACTGATCGGCCTCGTCCACGCCATCCGTCATTGGTGTCCGTATCTCTGGGGACGTCGCTTCCTGGTGCGCACGGACCACTACAGCCTCAAATTTCTCCTCGACCAGCGCCTCGCGACGATCCCACAGCATCATTTGGTCGGCAAACTCCTCGGGTTCGACTTCACCATTGAGTACAAGCCCGACGCTACGAACACGGTGGCCGACGCCCTCTCGCGCCGCGACACTGAAGAGGGCACTGTCCTCGCCATCTCTGCGCCTCGGTTCGACTACATCGAGCGCCTCCGCCAGGCTCAGGACACCGATCTGGCCCTCGTCGCCATCCGGGACGAGATCACTGCAGGCACCCGGGCGGCGCCGTGGTCCCTCATCGACGGCATGGTGGCCTATGATTCTCGCCTCTACGTTCCGCCGGCGTCCCCACTACTGCCGGAAATCATGACCGCCGTGCACGAGGACGGCCACGAGGGTGTGCAGCGCACCGTGCACCGCCTCCGCCGCGACTTCCACTTCCCCAACATGCGCCGCATGGTCCAGGACTACGTCCGAGCTTGCTCCACCTGCCAGCGATACAAATCAGAACATCTTCATCCGGCTGGCCTACTCATGCCGCTGCCGGTCCCGAAGGCAGTCTAGACCGACATCGGTCTGGACTTTGTGGAGGCGTTGCCGCGTGTCGGGGGAAATTCTGTCATACTGATAGTGGTGGATCGTTTCAGCAAGTATTGCCACTTCATTTCCCTGGCTCACCCGTATTCTGCAGAGTCCATGGCCCAGGCTTTCTTCACCGACATTGTTCGACTCCACGGCAGGCCTCAGTCGATGGTGTCCGACCGCGATCCGGTGTTCACTTCCAAGTTCTGGAGGGAGCTAATGCGCCTCATGGGCGCCAAGCTGCACATGACAACGGCTTTTCATCCGCAATCGGATGGCCAGACGGAGGTAGCCAACCACGTCATTGTCATGTACCTTCGCTGCTTCACCGGCGACCGGCCCTGTCAGTGGCTTCGCTGTCTGCCGTGGGCGGAATACATCTACAACACGGCCTATCAAACTTCGCTCCGTGACACGCCGTTCCGGGTGGTCTACGGCCGGGATCCGCCTACCATTCGGTCCTATGAGCCGGGCGAGACTCGTGTCGCTGCCGTCGCCAAGAGCATGGCAGACCGCGATGAGTTTCTGGAGGACATCCGCTACCGGCTTGAACAAGCCCAGGCGGTACAGAAGCTGCACTACGACAAGCTGCATCGACAAGTCTCCTACGCGGTGGGCGACTGGGTTCTACTCCGTCTACGCCATCACCCGGCCGCATCACTACCCCAGGCGACCACAGGGAAGCTGAAGCCCCGCTTCTTCGGGCCGTACCGCGTCACCGAGCTCATCAATGAGGTTGCCGTGCGCCTCGCCTTGCCTCCGCACACTCGGCTGCACGACGTCTTCCACATCGGCCTCCTCAAGAAGTTCATCGGTGATCCGCTGGCTACACCGCCACCTCTCCCGGTCATCCACAACGGTGCCGCTGTTTCGGAGCCCGAACGGGCAGTGCGCATCCGCCTGGCTCGCAGCGTTCGACAGGTGCTCATCCAATGGAAGGGCGAAACCGCGGCCTCTGCAACCTGGGAAGATGTGGACTCCTTCCTCCACAAGTACCCAGCGTTCCAGCTCGAGGACGAGCTGCTAGTCGAGGGGGGGGGGGAGATGTCATGTGGGGCCACGCCTATACAAGGAAACGGCGCGCCCGGGATGGCCGCAGAGCCACTGAGGATCTGGGCGCGGTCACCATGCAAGCAGGCGTGCCAGCTGAGGATATGGCGTGATCACCCAGCATGTAGGTCAGGAAGAAATGACAAGTAGATAGAAGGAAATAATAGCCGATCAAGGCCTTAGAATTAGGAGCAATTAGCTCCAATTTGTAGTGCCGAATGGCCTATATATGAGAATCATCAGGATGAATAAGAATCAAGCAAGAATTATTACCTAATCTCTCTTCTTCTTCCTCCAAACCGACTGGAGCTGAGGGGCAAAACCTCGCCCAGCTACCACGGGTCGCGACTACGAACTCCGTAGCCGGGGTCCTGCTAGTCTCGGACCTGACGTCCTTGACAGAAATCCTGAGTGGCCTCCAACAGGACTAGCATGTAAGGACTGAAGGATCTTGAGTTGTATGTTGGGATTATGGTGACCTTGTGACTTGGATATAGCAAGATGAGCAAGGAGCTTGATAGTGTCAGGGTCATGCCGATAAGAATCCACCAAGTCTTGAAGCCAAGGGGACTGAAGTGTAGACATAACCAGCAATTCCTGATGAGGACTATTTGTGACTCTTGAGAGAGCATGAGCAGCCCTATTTTCACTGCCTTGCTTGTAACATATCTTGTATTTCAGTCCCAATAGTTTAGTCAAAGCCTTATGTTGCCAAGGAGTTGTCAATCTTTGTTCATCTAAATGAGCCAAACTCTTTTGATCTGTTTTCAGTGTAAACTCACTATGCTGCAGGTACGCTCTCCAGTGATCCACAGCAAGAAGAATAGCAAGACACTCTTTCTCATAAGTGGATAGTGCCTGATTCTTTGGACCTAATGCCTTACTCACATAGGCAATTGGGTGACCATTTTGCTGTAACACTGCTCCAACACCTTTATCTGAGGCATCTGTTTCAATGACAAATAGCTTCTGAAGATCTGGGAGAGCTAAGACTGGAGCTGTGGTAAGTGCAGTCTTCAGAGCCTGGAAAGAAGTTTTCTGAGCAGTTGTCCAAACAAACATGACTCCTTTCTTCAAGAGAGAGGTAAGGGGTTTACTGATGGCACCAAAATTCTGTACAAATTTTCTATAATATCCAGCCAAACCCAAAAAGCTCCTGACCTCTTTGGCAGAAGAGGGAGTTGGCCAGTTCTGAACTATGGCAACCTTGCTGGGGTCTGTTGCTACTCCTTGAGCACTGATAATATGCCTCAAATAGACCAGCTCAGTCTGGGCAAATGAGCACTTGGAAAGTTTCACTTTAAACTGATGTTGTTGAAGTAGCTAAAACACCTGTCTGATATGGTCAAGGTGTTCTTCCCAACTGTGGCTAAAAATCAAGATGTCATCTATAAATACCACCACAAACTTGCGCAAAACAGGTGCTAAAACAGTGTTCATCACATGTTGAAAGGTGGCTGGTCCACCAGTGACTCCATAAGGCATTACCAGATACTCATAATGGCCATGGTGGGTTTGGAAAGCTGTTTTGGCTACATCTTCTTCAGCCATCAAGATCTGGTGGAAACCTGTCTAATGTTGTAAACCAGGTTGCTCCAACCAGGTCATCCAAGAGTTCTTCTATAATTGGGAGAGGAAATTTATTTTTCACTGTGAGAGCATTCAGCCTTCTGTAGTCTATGCATAACCTCCAGTCACCTGTTTTCTTCTTGACTAACAGGGCAGATGAGGCATAAGGACTATTGCTTTCCTTGATCCAACCATTTTCTAAAAGCTTCTAAACTTGGCTTTCAATCCCATCCTTTTGAGCTCAGTTGTATCTGTAAGGTCTCAGCCTAAAAGGTTGTGCTCCAGGAACAAGAGGAATTGTGTGAGATGAGGTTCTCTTTGGAGGTAACCCAGAAGGGCTCAGGAAAAGCTCAGAAAATTCATCCACTAAGGACTGTACTGCAGGAGGGACATTGGCAGTTTTAGTTGTACTGTCAACAGCTTGAAGTTCCAAAAGGCACCAGAGTTTATCTTGGACAACTAACTGTGCCAACTCTTGGTGATCAATCAATTCACAATGCATGGCTCTTGGGTTAATACCTTGGAGAACAGCTCAGGCTCCTTGGTAACTGAATGCCAACCACTTTTCCTTCCAATCAACCTCCATTGGACTGTGTCCTTTAAGCTAGTCAATTCCCAAGATTATATCGTAGCATTGCAGAGGCAAGATTTTCAACGAAATCTTGAACCCATAGCCAGAGATCCAGACTGGGCAGTCAACTAGCTCATGTGTGCATTGCAATATTTCACCATTGGCTACCTTGACCTGCATTGGATTTTTAGGAGCAGACCAGTTCCTCCACTTAGAAGCCAATAATTCACTGATAAAATTGTGTGAGCTGCCAGAATCAATGAGAATTATGGCCTCCTTCCCACAGATATCTCCAATCATTCTAACAGTTTTAGCTGACTCTGTACCTTGCACTGCATTAACAGAAAGAGCCATCAAATCTTCCCCTGAGTCTTCATCTTGCTCAGAAGAACTGGTTGCAATGGCACATATCTTCACCAGTCATCATTTGCCATAATTCCTCCACTACATGCAATGGCACAGAAGTGGGGTTCCACTTCATGCCACCGCCCTCTGCCTCCCCGCCCACGACATCTTCAGCGCCGCCTGCCTCGGCGTCATCGCCGCCCCGGCCCCCGACGCCGGCGGCGGCTTCATGGTCGTCGAGTTCTAGTCCATCGACGGCGGCGCCCAGGCCACGCTCCACTGCTTCTCGTCCCACACCGGCGCCTCGGTCACCAAGGCCGTCCGCAACCTGCTCCCGCGCTGGATCTGGAATTTCCGCGACGTCGTCTCCCACAGCGGCAAGCTCTGGTGGGTCGACACTGCCGCGGGACTCCTCACCTGTGACCCCTTCGCCGACACCCCGGACATGGGCTCCCCAGGCCTAGGGACGACGACGACGCTGACGCTGCTTCACGCTGCTCCTGCTACTACTGCTCTGAGAGAATGATCGCCTCCCGCCGCGTCGTGCAGTGCAGCTCAGCAACGGCAGCTTCCGCTGCGTCCACATCACCCCCGCCCGCCATGGCGCCGCGCCCACCGTCACCATGCGCACGCTCGCCAACCCGGAGACGGACGACTGGACGCTCGACTACCAGGTGTCCTTCGCTGACATCTGGGCAGACGACACCTCCAAGGTCGCGGGGCTGCCGGACAAGGAACCCGTCGTCGCGCTCATCCACCCCCATCAACCCCGACGTCCTCTACTGCTTCCTCGACGACTACCTCTTCGGCGTCGACGTGCGTGCCAGGAAGGTGGTCCAGTGCGAGGCTCACGGAATGGCCCAAGACAGCGTCTCTTCCTCCTCTGTTCTCGCCTGCAAGCGGCCCCCCGTGCGCACAGCCGCAGCCGCAGCCGCAGTCGCAGCCCCAGGTATAAACACGAATCCGCCCCCAATTTACTTTGGCTTCTCCGATCAAACACCCTATGCTCTGCTACTAGATGTTTCCCCCCAATTTACTCCAATCCATCACTAGTTGGATATGGATCATCATACATGTTGTACAGCCTGCAGTGCTACAGTGCTACCAGTGATGCATTTCAGTTCTTATATGAAATATAATTAAGATAAATCTTTTAATGTTGATGTTTAATAGAGGAATGGCTAAAGTCTAGTGGATGCTATGGCTTAGGAGTTAGGAGTTCCTGTTTCTACTAGACAAGGCAAACTGGAACGGTTTGCTTCTCTTCTTGGTGCAATTTGCTCGATCAGACTTGAATTTGTTTCTCATCACATATAACGTCACCATAGTTCAAATCAACTGTGCTTCTTACTGACATGCCAAGGCAGTGTTACTATATCTAGAATGCGGTATGTATGGATCACATTTATCTGAATTGTTGATGGACACTTTGTTGGTTTGAAGTTGGATAACCGCGTATTTCCAATTTCTAATGCTGTCAGTACGCAAGCAATGTATATTGTCATAACAAAATTTGTCATATCTTGACCTGTTGAATTCCTTTATTCCAATGCATATACACTCATGTAGTTTACACTTTTGATGATTATTATGCCATCAGTCCAGACATTTTTGGTACACTAATGATCTCTGACTTAACTGTTACTTCCATGGATTGTCTGAAGTCCATGATTCCAAATGTTCGGCATCACCGAGATATTTTTGTTTTAAAGAAAACCAAACTGTGGCATTAACTTAACATTCCTTTTGGGCTGAATTCCTGTAGCAGTAGTTTTCTCAACATATTTGTTGAAGTAAGATGTGTGGTAGCCGGTCCTAATAATAATGGTCTCTGTCGGCTATGCTATACTGCACACTCTCCATTCTCCAAATGGAAATTGCAACCTGATAAGAAAGCTTTGGTACTAGCTAGAACATCTTTCTGCTTGGATTAGTTTTATTTTGTTTGAAAATGTGCTTGGATTGGTTTAAAGGATGATGCTTAGGCATGTACAGAAGTGATAACTGAAGTAGTACTTCTCTACATTGCACATTTTAATTCCTAATTTTGTTTTCAGCATCAATAGTCTCTGTGTCTTATTTTCGTCAGTAGTGAACCCCAAATATTCTATTCTCTAAAGGGATTATTATTTCCTGTGTTTGAAGGTTTCGGTGGGGATGAACCTGTCAATGCTTCAAATGATGAGTCCACAACAGCAGCATCAACTTGAAGTGCTGGGATTGGGGATAGTGGCTGACCTTTCATGGTGGTAATTGTGCCTAGGTCTTGTTTTCCTGCTGGAGGAAGGATGAATGTAGCAAGCCTCTTATACCTTATACACAGTTTTCCTTTGGTCCTGCAGGTTTAGGAAGCAATATGTGACGGACATCAAGTTACTACCAGAGGCGTGTTAAGGATGTGGCATCACGTTCCATGGCCAGAACGCATGCTTGTGTGTTTAGTAGTAGTTTCTCATGTCAGGTCGTCAGGAAGAACAATGGACATGTTATTCTAGGGAACTGGATCTCGTTCTGCTTTCCTGTTTGGATCGATCGATGTCAGAGTAGTATGTGTTATCATCGGCCTGTTCGCTGGTTGTTTTCTGGACTGATAAGCCCGGTTGGTGCTGGTTTGTTGTAAGAGAAAAACACTATTGGCTAGCTGATAAGCTCTGACTGAAACCAATAAGCGAACAGACTTATATTGCTAGACAATTTCAGTGGCACGACGCATAGTATTCTGTCTCTGGGGTGAATGGAACTGAATTGTGCTTAGGGCAGGCTGGAAAACAAGTTGACTGCTGTGTGATCTTTTGAATCGTAGAATGCTCGACGAGTAAACTGGTTTGTGTTTTATTTTGACAGGTTTGTGTCATGCGGCTTGGTCGTCTGCCTCTTCATGAATGAATATCATGAGAATGAGAATGAATATCATAAGGGGATGAATTGAATTGTTGTCCCGTCCCGTCCCGTCCCGTCCCTGTGCCTTGGGTGTTAATGGTAGCTTAATTAGCTGCTCTAGGCATTTGCTAATCACGCCAATAATGGGATCCCCACCGTCCGAACGCCGTTTGACAAGAATGCCGATGGCCGGCCGGCCCCCACCGTCAGCAGATCAGCAGAGCACCCAAGCGGAACGGAAAAAGAGACGTGTCAAGTACGCTTCGTCCTCGCTGGGCGCTGGCCCTCGTGCTGGACTCATATCCTATCCTATATAAGCTGGCCGCCTGGCGTCCCTTCCCTTGATCTAAAATCCCCATCCGTCCTGTCCCTTCCCTTCCCTTCCCTTCTCTGAATCCAATTCAAACAAGAGGGCCAGTGACCACCACCAACCAGCAACCATGGCGTCGTCGCCTCCCTCTGATGAATCTGATCCGTGGGTCATCCTCCGCACCGTGCTGCGCGTCCACACCTGGGACCGCGACCTCTTCTTCGAGCTCGTCGACCCGCCGCGCCTCAGCTTCCTCACCGTCTCCACCCGCGTCTCCCCCGCTCGCCCGCCCCCGCTCGCGCGGCGGGGCACCAGCAGCGTCATCAGGCACCCCCGCATCCTCTCCGCCGACCTCTCCGCCAGCCTCTTCCTCACCGTCACGCCGACGCCGCAGCCGACCGCGTCCAGTTCCAGCGCCAGCACCAGCGCCGCAACAGACATCTGCTGCTTCGTCCTCGACGCCGCCTCTTGCACGTCCCACCGCGTCCCCGACCCCGCCCCCGGCTTCGCTAGGTTCGGCGTCATCGCCGCGCCGGACGGCGCCAGCTTCATGGTCGTCGGCCTCCGGTGCCCGATCGGCAACGACAGGGCCTCGCTGCACTGCTTCTCGTCCCGGACTGGCGTCTGGGTCACCAAGGACGTCAACAACCCGCGCCCGCACCGCACCTGGACCTTCAGCGACGCCATCGCCCACGACGGCAAGCTCTGGTGGGTCGACCAACCGAGCATGTCCTTCGTCCCCTTCCCGAACCACGTCACCGCCATGGAAGCCAGAGCCAAAGCCACAGCCTACGACTACGTGCAGGTCGCCGACGGCAAGCTCCGCTGGGTCCATGTGTTATGTGATCTTGACGAGACGGCGGACGAGGCTCCGTCTCTGAATGGCGCGCCGCTCCTCTCCATCTATGCGGTCCTTGGTGGGGACGACGACGGCGGCTACCGGTTGGATTTCGAGTTGCTCCCGCACTGGCGCGGTGATTTCTCCTTCTGCTTCATCTGGGAGTCCGACACCTTCAAGGCGGCTGAGATGCCAAGTACGAGCCGTCAGATTGATCTCTAATCTTATACCAGGCCCAACGGCTCAGTCGGCCTGGGATCCGTGCTCTGATCAGGGGCGTCTAGCCCACTATAGCTGAAGGACCCCTGTCACACTGCGCAATAAATAGAGGTGGGACCAGCGGCTCTGAGTACTAGGTTCGCCTGAGCCGAGCTCCCCACTTAAATCTAAACCCTAATCCTGATCAGAGAGGGATGCAGCCAGTGACGGGAAGCCACCAGCCGTGCCGCCTGCTTCACCGCCGGTCGCCACCGTCCATCACCGTCACCGTCCTCACCGACCGTCGCTGCCCTCGCGCAGACGTCGACACAACAACCATGGCCGACGCCTTTGGATCGAAGGCCTACGATGGTCGGTAACCTAGCACTACTCCTCCCTCTAATCTCTGTCTAGTTCACGTACTAGGACATGTTATCCATTTACAAGATGTACCCGGCTAGATCTATGACTATGTGATCATAATAGATCTTAACAATGGTATCGGAGCCTAACTAGGTGTAGATCTAGCCTATCGAAACCCTCTGTCTAGATGTAGATCATGTCAGGGGTAAGAAAGAGACCAGATCCGTCCGAATCTAGGAATAGAAAAGAAAGGGATCTCGGCACGCGAAGCCGAACCCTAACCCGCGAATCAAACTCGGGGAAGAAGAACAGTGAACGAAACCCTAACCCTAACCAAACCCTAATCTCGATCCTAACCCCATCCCCAACCCTAAATCGGATAGATCCGAGAAGAGAAGAAAGAAAAATCAAAGAAAAGAAAAGGGGAAGAGGCCTACCTCGCCGCCGCACTGTGCTGCCACCTCATCGGCGCGTGGGTGGGTGCTCGGGCCAAGGGCGCCGCGGCCAGGCCGCTCGACGGCGGCACGCTCACCTGCTGGGGAGCGCGCGCGCCGGCGAGAGGGCTGGCGACGGCACCGTCATCGTCTCCGAGACAGAGAAGGAGGAGAAGTGGCCGGGTCAGATCTAGGGTTTTGGAGGGGATCAGGGCACAACCACCCAAAGCATCGACGGCGGCGTGCTCACTCGCTGGGGAGCGCGCACGCCGGCGAGGGGACCGGCGACGGCGCCATCTTCGCGCTTGCTTTCACTCTGGTGCTCGTGGCTGCTGCGCTGAGGAGGGAATGGAGTGAGGCGAAGAGAGAGAGAGAGAGCAGCAGAGAATGTGTTAGGGTTTCCCCATGGTCGCCGCGGCGTCGGCTTTTATATCGAGCGAACCGCGCGCGCGATGGTCGGATCTGGATCAACAGACGAGATCGCTCAAGCCAACATTTGGCCCAGGCGGAATCGGAGAATCCCGGCCCAGGCCTAGGTTGCGGCCTGGGACGCGGGGGAGCGCGGCTGCACGTTGGGCCGTGGGCCGCGTTTATGCTCTACTGGGCCGAAATGGCCACAAACACAATGAAACATAATTTTTCTTTCTTTTTATTTTTCCAGAAACCTTTTGATACATATTTGATGAATTTCAATTGAATTTTGATGTCCAACTCTGCACAATTTTGATCCAACGACAATTTTGCTCAAAGAAAAGTATAGTACTATAAAGTTTCTGGAAAAATAATAATGAGAATATTTACGCTTTCTGCTGCGTATTTAAAGTTGTTATTTTCATTGTTAAATTCGAACCAACGGGAGATTTTAATTTTAAAAAATGAATATGTTATAGTTTATTATAATATTGTTATTATTCTGACCAACGTTGATTAATGGCAATATTATGATGTTATGTATGAGTTTTGTCATGCATTAATTCTATTTCTGCCCAACGGTGATGTAGAATTAGTGTAGAGGACAATTGTATGTTTTAATTTTGATCAACGTTGGAACTAAGGCATGCAATTGTTATTATTATGTTTATGTTCTCACTCTATATGAATTGTGTTTTTAGGCGGATACAACTTAATGGTTTGTATCAAAGAGATCCCCACTCTCAAAGGTGACAACTACACGGAGTGAAAGAAAAAGATTGACCTAGCCTTCGTCTTAGATGAGATGGACTGGATAGTCACCTCACTGTGTTCCACTGAGCTTGTGGCACCAGTGAGGGAGACAAACGAGGCTGATGCCGCTTGGGCAACTAGAGAGAGGGATTTTGCATCCCAAAAGATGTCCTATGACCTTGAGCATAGAAAGTGGGTCACTATCAACCAGAAATATTTGGCTGTGATAAAGAACACGATTGAGCCTGCAATTGTGGGCTCAATCCCAGAGTGTGACACGATCACCGAGTACCTCGATAGAATAAAGAGTCAGTTCACTGGCTCTTCAAAGACATGCTACCCAGCTGATAAAGCAGCTGGTGATAGAGAGGTACTCTAGAAATGGTGGCATAAGAGAGCACATACTAAGGATGTGCAATTTGTTATCCAAGCTAAAACCAATAGATCTGACTCTTAAGGAAGAGTTCCTTATCCATCTGATTTTTGCTTTCTTGCCAAAGGAATTTGACACTTTTGTTGTCAACTACAACATACAACCTGAGAAGTGGGACTTAGAGAGGCTCATAGCTATGTGTGTGCAAGAAGATGAGAAAATGAAAACTACCAATGGTGGCACTATAAATTATGTGAAAGACAACAAGAAAAAGAATAATAATGCTAACTCCTCCTCAAAGTCAAAGGGAAAGGGTCCTATGCTGCATCAGCCTCAACAAAACAAGTTCACGGTAAAGAAAAACCAGTGTCTCTATTGCAAGAAGACGAGACATTATAAGAAAGATTGTCCTAATTACTTAAAGATGATCATGTGAAAGCTCTAGTTTGATTTTAGTTAATTGATGAAACCCTAAGTGCTAACCTAGTTTATCAAAGTAATTATGAGATAGGTAGCACTACTCCAAGTGATGAAGCAATGACAAAGATCATGACGATGGTGATGGCATGGTGATGATCAAATGCTTAAACATGGAAAAGAAGAAAGAGAAAAACAAAAGGCTCAAGGCAAAGGTATTAATTGTAGAAGCC